CTCTCTATGCACATCGTGTAATAAGTATTGCCTGCAAGCAGAATGCGATCTAAATCACATGTTTGCCATACATTGATATGTTTGGTTGTAGTATATGCTATAGCTGCAGCTGCATTTGCGGTACATTGACGTCCTCTAGAGTCTTCGTGGAACGTTTCACTTCCTTGGTGGAAAGTGCCTCGTAAAATATACTTTTCATTGCCAATTGGTTTGAAGGCATTTTCTTCTCGGTTTACTGACGATGGAGCAGTTTGAGATACAATCGCTTCATATAAATTATCATTAATCTCACGTGTAATAGTGTCATAATTAATCCGAACATTAGAATATAAATGATTGTTTAGTATAAGCCACTGCAAAGCACGTTTAATTTTGGTAATATCAATTAAATACCTTTTGTTATTTACAACATTTTCCAATGTTTCCGAAACTATTATTATGCCAGCACTGGTAATCGAAATTGGCAGTTGTTCAGCAACTTCCTCTACTTGCTGGGCAAAAAGAACTGCCTGGCCCTTAAAACCTTGTTGCCCAAATCTGCCGCCCAATCGAACAACTTTCAGAAATGGTTTTATTCTTGAAACCAAACGTATTTCCATTTCACTCAAACATTCCAGTTCAGGCGGAATAGAACATACCGTCATATTATTCCAAAATGCATTTGATGGTATTTTATTTTTCAATAAGCTTACTGCGCATCGATTACAGGAAATGAATTGACTTGGACTTTCAACTGGTAAAACATTCGACTGGTTTTTTGAAATAGACCTTGTTTGATTTCGATAACATACTCTGTTGCAAATGTAGCATAGGTGATTGGCAATTTGTGATATAGAATCAATAAATACTGAGTCAACCGAGAAAAGTTGTCGCCGATAACGTAGACAAGAGTTCCTCCTTAAGCGTGTAATTCTATGACATCTAGATATTGGTGATTCATTGTCACGTAACTGAGACGCATGTGTTCTCATAGCCGATAATCGTTGGGTTCGCGTTGTGGGCGATTCGTCGTCCCGTAATTGAGACGCATGATTACAAAAAGACGACAATCTAAGAGATCGTGTCGTTGGTGATTCCAGTGCACGAATTTTCGCTGTTTGATTTTTTTGTTTAATAAGTCTATTAATTCGACTTTGATTAGACTCCCGATTACTACGGTACTCAGCCATTCTTTTCGCAGTTTTATAGAGTAGTATTTTCTTTTTTGTGGGTGATTGGCTGTTATAACTAAGACAAATTTGATTTTTAACACCTTGCAATCGTTTCTGTCGCGATGCCGGAGACTGAGTTTTGCGACGTGCACTTTCTTGTCGAGCTTTTTTAGTTTTGCGATAAAGATTTGCACGCGATCGAGAACGTTTCCTAACAGGTGGCATTGTGCGTTATATAATAGGTACTGCAATACTCGTACGAAACAAATAACAACGTATATGCTGAATTGGGCACTAGCAAAGAAATACTATTACTGTAGTAAATAGATAATTTAAATATGTACTAACGAAATACTTAACTACGTTTCTAATGAAATAATTATATGTATGGTTTTTAAAAATGTAGGTAATGAATTACGAAATAGTAGTTTAAACCGGAACAAACCAACGATCCAACAAATTAACCTGCTAAAGTTCCAAACTAAACTCAGAATTGGTAACTTGATTAAATAATAATTACCCCTTAATAAAATTAGTACACATAATCAGCTTAAAACTACACGAAAAGGCAATATGTATCTAGTAATAAAATAACTATATTTTTTTTGTAAATTTAGAAGCCCTTTTTAACCGACTTCAAAAAAGCAAAGGTTCTGTATTCGACTGTATTTTTTTCTATCAATTATTATTATTTATTTATATAGACAGGGAGATTACTACGAAAGTAGCTACACAAACAAAATAAGAACAAATGAGTAAATAACAAACAACAATCCTAAAATAATCTTTTGCCACCTAAAACCTATTTAAAATACATACAATTTTAGGTACCTAGGTATTTGGACACCATAACGTTAGTACTTCAGTACTAACAAAACTATTGACAAATCAACCAACTAACTAGAATAACCAATAAACCTAAACAATCAATCAACCAAGTAACGAAATCAACAAATTAACTATTATTATTTTTGTTATAAATATAAAACAGAGCGACACAACGAATACCTTTCCGAACTAAATAGAAACAATTATTCTAAATTAATAGCTTAGTACCTAAAACCAACCTAAAACACTAACTAACTCTTCACGTAAGTAGGTAAACACAACAAAACAATAATGTCGAACCTTAACACGAAATTTAAAAAACCAAAATACACCAACTCGAAAAACCAACAAACCTGGTTTGTCAACCGACAATCCAACTAACGAGATTTAAGCAAACCTTTCCAAATAAAATAGAAACAATAAATCTTAAAGTAATAACTTAGTACTTAAAACCAACTTGAAACAAAAACTGTGAGTAAACAGAAACTTTTTAAGCAGAAACCCAACTATTAGAAATTAACAGAAAACTTTTTTAACAATAATCGGCCACGTCATAAAGACTCAGCCTCAGGTAACTGCCTAGTACCAACTGGTATGATTTTAGTCGCTCACTCTGTAAACGACCGAAAACCACCCCCACCTCTCCGCACCTCTCACCCGCTTACGCCTGCGGCTCCGTCGTTTCAGCCCAGTGTGCATAATTTTCAATGGTATAAAATACCAATTGATTTATTCTTAGTTTATTTAAGTAGCCGTCAGTATAAAAAAGTGTTTTATAGCATTTGAAATCACTTAAAGAGTGATACCTGGGAGCGTTACGAGATGACAACAGCGCCAACGTAGCTAGTGAGGAAACTAAAAAAAGCAAGCTACCAATGAGCGTTATGGACGCAAACAAAAGTTTTGCTATTCTTCACTAGATAGCGATGTGATCATCATAATAGTTAAAGTAATTTTCTTTAGATTTACAAATCTAGTAGTTCAGCTTAAAATAAAAGTATAATAAAGTAGATAAATTTGCTATTTCTTCTTTCAAATGTTTAATACTTGGTAAATTATTTCGTTTTTACTTTAGTAACTAACAATGCGAAGCTAGCAGCAATAATTGCTCTTCGATGCGAAGAGATGGCGCTGCCTAAGAAGCGAACTTGGAATCGGAACATTTTTTAGAAAAAAACATCTTTAGATTTCCCAAATACTTTTAATTTTAGTCAATTAATTAAATACATCTTGCTCTGTAGCAAGATATATTTAATAAATAGTAATTCTTATAGATTTTTTAGTCTGCAAGGCAGCGCCATCTCTTCGCGTTGTAGGTAACCTACAATGTTAAACGAAATACTTTCCTGATGCCTCGACCAAATTTTTTTATATTTATAAACCTAGCAGTTAGGTTCATATGATTAAAAAAAATTTAATGAATACACCTTTTCAAAATTTTCGAAATCCAACTATGTAATTGTGAATTTAAGCTTGATATTTCCTGTATTGATTCATTGCATTAGCGCCCCTGGTGTTGAATAGCTAGAACTAGCAAAACGAGAGACGAACATCTGAATAAATAAACTGCGAAATATTTTTAATCAGACGAAAGTATTTACTACGAATAATATTACTTGTGTCGTACACTAGGCAGCTTATTTTTTAAAACCAACGAACTAATTAATCTTGCTCACAATAATGTAGTCGAGCTGATAGCAGCGTATCTGGTGCTGAGTGGCTAGAACTGTTTAACTGTTCGACATTAACATTATAGTACAAGACACAAAAAGTCAGGTTTTTCATTAATTTTGAGAATTATATTATGATAAATAAATAACATTACTTATGTAAGAAGCTGATCTATAGCTATAAAGTTTTATAAACACCAAAATTCATATACATTTTGTTCTCCCACCATCCCCGCAATCTACTCCTGCAGTACACCGCGCTATCATTTTGACATCGTTGTAACTTTTTATTAAATATTTGTCGAAATGACATAGTGTAAAAGGTTAAGTTTAACGTCTTTCAATTTCAAAAGCGATAAAAGTATTTATTATATTTAATATTATATTTAAAACTAATTTTTTAATCCAAAATGTGCATTTTGGAAATGGATATCAAATAATATTTTATTTTTGTTTCACTGTTTTAGCGATAATGGCTTACACATTAAAAATAGATATATTCTGTCGCAGACTTTTTTGTAGAACTATTTAAGAGATACATTTTCACTATACATTATATTCATGTAACTTTTACTGTTTTTGCAGTACAGGCTGAAATGGCTCGCAGATGGGAGGTTTTTTTCCGCCTTACGTGACACTTATTGTTATATTTTGGCCTATTCACTCAAAAGCTACAAAAATTATAATCTATGTGTTATTATTATGTATGAGCTATATTGTTGTTAAGTTGCATTAAAATCCATTCACTATTTTTTGGGTGAAAGAGTAACAAAGATCCCCTATACAAACGTAAGATTGAAATTCAAAGCGCAAGTCCCTAATATGCAACTTTAAATCGTTGTAGATCCTAAACAATCAAATAAAATGAAAAATGGTGTTAGGAACCTAAACATGATTTTCGATTATCTAGACAGTGATACCCCACTCGACATATTTTGTCAACTTATTTTTTTTACTTCGTCACAATATGGCGCCTAATTTTGTCCACATTGAATTTTGATTACTATCATATCTTTAGTAGCACTCCCATGATTGAGACGAATCGATTGATGTATAAATCATCAAAATCGGTCCAGGCGTTTGGCCTCTAGTGTGCCACAAAGGAACAAACATACATATATAGACTGTTAAACACAATACCCTGTCTGCGCGTCGCGCTTCGCGCTCTTGCATTGCGCAGCCGGGTAAAAACGAACCAGTAACATAGTAAGAAAAGTGTGAAGTTTCGACCGAAATTTCATTTTTCGTTGAATTAGACTAGGCCTCTAGGTCCAGTGTAGCTGCGACGAGACAGTAGGCATTAGCCTACCATTAGGTTTAAAAATGTTTTGAGCATTGATTCTAAACGCACCACACTGAATGATCCGACTGTGATCGGTATCTTCTTGAGACAGTCATCGACCAATCCAGCGAAGCTCTCGTCTGTCTCTTGCAAATGGTGCACGCACAACCACATCTGTTCAGAGAGAGTGTCGACCATCGGCTTCTTGGGCGGTACCTGTAGTAACATCACCGTGTTAACATCGTCACTCACTGCAATTAACGAAGTATAAAGAAGCTTAGACAACTTGCTATCACTAATATTTGGGAAGTTCGACGGCGCAGTGGTTAGCGCGTTTCGTCTACGATCGTGGAAGTTATGTAACTTTCGCAATAGGTAAGTAACCGATCACTTGATTTGGTTGATCATAAATGTACTATCTCGAGCTCCTTCGTGCTTGGAAAGGCACGTTAAGCCGTCCCGGCTGCATCTGCAGTTCATAGCATCTTTATAGGTACGTCGACGCATCTACCATATTAATGGGTTTTTATATATAGATCTGAGAAAAAACTCAAAATATAGGGAAGCCATTAATTAATAAAGTATTTTTTAGTAAGGTCTGTACACTGCCGGATTTAGGGGAGGGCAATCGGGGCGAAAGCCCCGGGGCCTCCACAAACGGGGGGCCTTACAATAGAGACTTCGGAAAAAAAAAATTCAAATTGCAACTAGTAAACACTAGTAAACATCTTTTCCTTTGATATTTTTTTTTTGCTCTTTTACCTTTACCTACAGCCTACAGTACTCAAATTAATCTTAAATAACAGAAATCATTGATATATATTTGTTCACTCCAATCAGGCAATCAGTGAAATATCAAAATCTCAAATGGCCCAGATCAGCACTTCCAATTCACTACCCATCTTGAGGGAGTACCCCAATCGCTTAATGGCTGAGTGGGGTGGTACTTGCCCGCAGGGCCGAATTTAAGGCAGGGCAGGTGGGGCTGTGGCCCAGGGGCCTCCACAACGGCTTAAAAAATAACAACATTTCGATGGGTTAACAAGAATACAAATCCTAAGCGGGGCCTCCACAATCCTAAATCCGGCCCTGGGTCTGTATGAATAAATCTAAAACTACTTCATAGAATGAACTGAACAGCTGCCTGGACGGGATATGCATTTCACTTTAAGTGTACGGCACAATAGGTTATCACGACGAATCGTCAAACATGTTTCAGTCCATTTTTCGCAGTCATCAAATTGAAAACGTTGAACGAAATGGCCTTCTGTATGCACATGGTTTGTTGAAATATTTCAATTCAAAACTTACGTCACTGAGTGATTGTTTTAAAATACAATACCTAAATATCAGTATTAAACTTTATGTCAAACTCATTAAGATTCATAATCATTTAGTTACTTTTTATAGTTTATTAGTCTTAGACTCAGGGCCGCATTTAGAGATGTGTGAGGTGGGCCCTGGGGCAACAAAGTGGAGGCCGTGAATCTTGCACCCGGTACCGGTACCCATACGATTTGCAACCCCTTCCCCTGGTTGGTTACCTGTCGAAATTTTGTTCGTTTGTCGGGGCCACTGCCCTACCTTAAATCCGGCCCTGTAAGGTCTTTTTGGAGACTGTACCTACTTAATCTCCAACCTAGAGTTGTTCTGCACAACCAGCGCTCCCCTATAGTTCTAGAAGTTACAAAGCTCCCCCGGGAAAGGCTTGGGCTACAAAACTATGTTACCGGAAAGCTCGTCTTGAAGTTTGCTTCTTCAAGTAAACTTCAAGACGAGCTTTGAATATAGAATAGCATCTAGTCTGACTTATAAGTTGACTGTTTGAGCTTGTATACTTGAAGGCACTATTGTTGTATTTTTTATTTAATAAAGGCGCTGTAAACGTCGAATTTTATATGCATTTCATAAAGAAGCTAACATCTCAAGGACATTTTTTTTTATAATTTTTATTATTTTTAAAGCATGTAACTGTTTTCTTTAGATTTTCTTTAGATTTAAACATTTTTTTTTGTTTATAAAACATTGTCTTGTTCTGATTAAATGCCCTTAGTTGGAAGTTAAAATGTGCATAAGATCTTTCTACATAGAAAGAGAGGAGCACCGAAACTTCCATTGGTGAGTCATCACTACGAGCTAACACGCCCTATAAAACTCTCTTCGTATTGACAATTAGGTCTTTATTTTATCTTACGGCAGAGACACCGGGAGGTACGTGAAAAGCTACATATGGCATTTTTCGCAGTCCGCTGTTTGCGAAGTGTTTACAGTCAATCTTATAAACAGAAACCAGCTTAGTTAAATTCTTGTATTTAACTTGTTTTTGTTTGTGTACTTAATTAATAGTTTCTCGTGACTGACTATAAGGCGCTTTGCAGACGACGGGGCGGGGCGGGCCGGCCAATTTCGCCGCGAATAATAGCACAAAGTGAATCCTATACTTCAAACGCACACAGCGGTCAAAAAGACCGCGCCTTGGGTGCCCGGCGGGCACTGGCGGCGCGGCATGTCCGCGGCTGCCCGCCGTGGATCATACAAACCAGTTTATATGCAGTAACGCAGACGGCGGCGCGGGGCAGTCATGGACTATTCACTAGAATGAACGTCCTAAACTGACCGCCTCTGCCCGTCGTGTGCTTTGTGTACGTGGCGCGGGCAGCCGCAGACATCGACGGGCAGACGCGGTCTTTATTGCTTCGCGGACAAAATGCCCGCCCCGCCCCGTCGTCTGCTTAAATGTACTAACCACTTTGGTGCCGGCGGGTCCTCGCAATATAAAATTCCACTGTTCGGGAGTTACCAGACCAGCGTTCAGGTAAATAGCCATGTTTAAAAGGAAACTGAACACCAGCTTGTGTCTCTCGAACAGCCCTCTAGATACGTTCCGGTATACGGATAGTGTGATCTCTCGATGGAGGATATCCAGGCGAGTCTCGAGGACATCGCATTTCTCGCTTTTCTCTATCACAGCGTTGAACACCTGTGAAATAGTAGATCGTAAGAGAAGTTTGATAAACTGTTTCGAACTATTTAGTAAACGTCACGTCGTCATCTCTGTTTCTTTAGGTTTAGGGTCCGATTTTTGGTTAGGAAGAAATACATAGGTTGTCTACTTCGTTTCTATGTTGATAACTTTCTAAATTGTCTCGAGTCTGGGTCTTTGTGACATGGCAATAAGAGTAATATTTGTAGTGTTAGGCTATTCATGGTCCTTGACCTTGGCTGTAATATCATTTTTAGTCATTCTGTCCCGTGTTAAAAGTTTGAAATATCAAGGTTCAAGTACTTAGTGATATAGATTTTATTGTATAATTGCATTGATGGCTGTCGGCGCATGTGCAACAAGCTTGGACGAAGGCAACAAGGTGCAATATTGATTTGCCCGGGCGAAACGTCTCCATCTCACCTGATTGAAGTATTTCAAGGAGAACTGGTACATAGGGTCTATGTCGGCCAGTTGGGCCACCGCGAAATACAACACGGCACCCCTGGTCGCTACGGTCCTGTACTTCTCCCGGGCCGCTGATATGCTGATTTCAGTCGCTTCCGTTTCCTCCAGGCGAGCGTTGATGATTTCAGAGGTTTCCTTATAATAATATGGAGAATGTTAAAGTTATTTGAACGCGCATCAATTTAATTGTCTAATGAATAACAAAAATCGTACCCTAGATCTTTTTATTACTAATACATCACTATGCATGTGCGAACCACCGCTCCATTCTTTGCTCCCTCCCGACCCGTCACATCCCCCCTTTTTAATTAATATTTCAACTAACGTGAAATTTAGTGCAATGTTACGGAATTCTGCACCTCGTTATCGTTATATTGAAGCTAATTATAGCTTAATAAACAAAGATATTGCGGATATTGACTGGCATAATATATTACGGAGTTTGCCCATCGAGGATGCTGTTAATATTTTTTATGAAACTATCTATAAAATAATTAAAGACCGTGTACCCGCACGTCCCAATAAAAGGAATGACTTTCCTATTTGGTTCACAAAACCATTAATACATATATTTAAAAATAAAAACAAGGCATGGATAAGGTGGAAAAAGTATCAGAATATTTCTGACTATGAAACATTTTCCCTGTATCGTCAAAGATTTAAAGATTTATGTCAAAAGTGCCTAGACACTTATATTAATTCTATAGAGGAGGGAATACGTGATGATATTCGAATATTTTGGTCTTATGTAAACAACCGTAAGTCAAAGAATGTCATACCTCAAGAAATAACATATTTGAATTCTAGAACAAATAACCCGAACGAAGCCTGTGAGTTATTTTCACGTTTTTTTAGTTCCGTTTACGAATCATCTGATCCCTGTGAAGTCGATGATAGAACGTCTTTTGATCAAACAGATAGCGATGACACGATAACACATATATATTTCCCAATTGATGTAATAGTATCTGTCATTAAGTCAATAGATATCACCAAAGGTGCTGGACCTGACGGCATCCCACCTATCTTTATTAAGTCTACGGTAAATACCTTGTGCACGCCTCTTTTTATACTTTTTAATCAAAGTATCCGAGAAGGGAAACTCCCATCAATGTGGAAAAGTGCTAATATAGTCCCTGTTCATAAGGGTGGTTCCAGGCATGATGTTGAAAATTATCGTCCCATCTCGTTGTTGTCAACCGTGTCGAAACTCCTAGAGAAATTAATTCATAATGAAATATATCCTAGTCTTCATGCTAGGATCATATCACAGCAACACGGCTTTGTCAAGAAACGATCGACTCTCACTAATTTAATGTCATATTCCACATTCTTATTTGAATGTATGGATAACCGTCAACAAGTCGATTCCGTTTACACTGACTTCTGCAAAGCTTTCGACAAAGTTGACCACGCTATCCTTCTACGCAAGATAGCATTTAACGGGATTCGTGGAAATTTGTTTCGCTGGTTTCATTCTTACATAACCAATAGGACCCAAAAGGTTGTGGTAAATGGCTTTTCCTCATCAACGATTTATGTATCTTCGGGTGTAGCTCAAGGTTCAATTTTAGGGCCTTTGCTCTTTATCTTATTTATAAATGATATTTCCCAATGTTTCATTAATAGTAACTTCCTCCTGTATGCTGATGACTTAAAGGTATATCGCACCATCACGAACTTTGATGACTGCATTAAACTTCAACAAGATTTAGACCGCCTCTCACTGTACTGTAGCATTAACAAACTGCATCTCAGCATACCAAAGTGTAAGGCTATAACATTTACAAAGAATAGAAACATTGTACTAAACACGTATTATTTGAATAACACACCATTAGAAAATGTCACATTAATTCGTGATTTGGGAATCCTCTTTGACTCTGAACTGCACCTGAATTCTCATATAGATCATATCACCAGTAAGGCTTACAAACTTTACGGCTTTGTAGCTCGGTCCTGTTCAGCTTTCAAACGTCCAAGCACACTTATATACCTTTTTAAGTCCTTGATCAGATCACAGCTTGAGTATGGTGTCATCATATGGAATCCTTTCTATAATAAGTACAATAAACAGGTCGAGTCTGTTCAACGGAAATTTTTGAGATATGTTAATTTTAAATGTTGTCACTCCAAAGTTTCATATGAAAACTTGCTAATAAAATTTTCACTAGACTCGCTCGAAGTGAGAAGGTCACTCCTGAGTTCTATGTTTCTCTATAATCTATGTAATAATAACTTTGATTGCATTGATTTGATAAATAAAATAAATTATCAGATACCCAGTAGATCAAAACGAATCCAACAAAATTACCATCATCGATTATTTTCACTTCCCCGGTGTAATACTAATGCTGGGGCCCGTGCACCTTTGTATAGAGTGATGAAAAGTTACAACGATAATTTGCATAATATTGATATTTTTCAATTGTCACCATCCTTATACAAAAAAAGTGTCACTTCAGTTTTCTCCCAAGGTTCAGAAGTATCTAAGTGAATGTTAATATACTAAAATAGATATACATCGGTTAGACTTGCACCCTGGCTGGATTTAACTACTTTAGCACAGTGGTTTGATTGATGGGTCATGTCATTATTTTCAGTTACTAATTTATATTCTGTTCATTTCTTGGTACCTACTGTATTAATAGAAAATCTTAAGCGCAAAAATATGTATTTTGTTTTAATTAGTGGATAATGAAGTTGGTCGTACAATAATTTAAGGTGTCACCTGTATTACAATACTATTTGTTTAATGAGAATTGTACCACTGTTTTTTGTCCTGAATAAAATAAAATAAATAAGAAAAAAAAAAAAAAAAAAAAAAAATGTTACATATCTTTAAGACGACATACCAACTTATAAACTACAAACTGCAAGTTTAAATAATTAGGTAACTAGAATAAGCAAGACGAAATGCATTGTTAAAAATGTTTTATTTCAGTAGGACAATAAAGATTATTATTTTTATATCTCTGCGCTACAGTCAATTCACACCGGAATGGCAGCGAAAGGCAGCAACGCGGAAACCGCAATGTGGAATAATATTAAACTTTATCGAACACACTTAAAAGACCAGTATCACCAGCGCAGTCTCCGCGGCCTTCCGCGTAGTCATGCAGCGCAGTCGCGCGCGGGAGACACCGCGGAACCTTTTCAAGCGATACTAGTCTTTGTAATAATAAGCATAAAATTATTTCACACCGCTTTCAGTGAGAAAGTGTTCGCCGCATCGTAAGATCATAATCAAAAGATTTGGAATATTTATCTTTTTATTTGAGTTCAAATTACGTTTACGTGACAATAGATAAGTACCTAGTAAAAATATATTTCAAATCAGATTTACCCTATCGTTAAATAGTTGTCTTCGTTTGAGAGTTCTTCAATACGCGCGGGGCAGGTGGCCAGTCCACACTTCTGTGCCACCCGCCCGCGCTTTCTCAGTACGCTACACGCACGGTCGAGTTACATATCCCCGAAAAGCGGGAGCCTGTCCCGCGCGGGACATTTAATTTTGATTTAAAAATCGGGAAGTCTGGCAACGCTGGTCAAGGCCCAATATCCCCTTTTGTATATTTTCTTAACCATATATGAAAGAATATTTTATCACTTTTTCCTAACTGGTTATAAAATAAGTTGTTTTCCATTATCTAATCGGATTAAATAGGTTTTAGTTAATAAATCGAGAAATAAAACTCAAATATATAACATACTTATATACAATGTTCGTAACATGGAATTTTTATTGACATTTTCTTAACTTGTTTATAAATAACATTTCTTTTTTTATTCGTTTTTTATCTTAACTCATGTTGAAAATGGACGAAATACAAATATGCATTCTTATTTAATAACCAGTTAGGATAAAGTGAATAAAAATTCTACTTTCGTAGATGGTTAAGAAAATGGAACAAGGGCAAACAATCAGCAAAACAATCTCCTTATCCCATTCGTAGGCCTCTGCCCAAACAATGAGACACTGATTAGGCTGATGATATGTTATTAAAACGTCGACTTTTGTTAGGATTAAAGCTTTGGATGAACTTACCTTACTCTCATTAAGAGTTTCGATCAGTTCCTCATCGTCCAGGATGTTCCCAGAAGATGCGTATAGTAGGCGCAGTATCTTATCTTCTATCTCGAGTAAAGTCGCCTTGTCCGCGTTGATACGCATGATCAGATCAGTACGAAGAAGCTCAAGGTCCGGTCGCTCCAGGCGTACGACGTCACTGCCGTTGGTGTAACATTATGATTTCATATTCTATTTTATTGAATACGACAGGTATTCAATAAAATATCTGCCTTGGCTTTTCACGGGCGAATATTATTAATATCATTTTTAAAAGTCGGTCCAGTAGTTTTTGTGTTTATTCGTTACAGAAATAAAAAAATACAAATCTTTCCTCTTTATAATATTATTATATAAATAACATAGGCGAGGAGCCACCAATCCTGAAGGCTCCGTGATCACGGATTCTAATATTTTTAATAAAAAATAAAAGGTAACGTTTAGACGAACAAGATTTGCTTGGTCGGAGTGGATTTGATTGGCCGGAAATATTTTAATTAAATTATTTATTGTTAAATTTCCATATTTTTCTTCCGTCATCACGGGTTTTCCTCAATCAATCCTATATAGAATTTTGTGTGAAATATTATGTTCAACAAGAAAAAATCCGGCCGACCAATGATTTTTAGCCGGAAAGGTCACGCATACCTATTTGAATGGTGTGATAAGGGGTAAAATTTATCCATTATCACGGAAACCTTTGTTTTTTTTAATTCACGCGTTTTAATGTCACATTTATAATTATCTTGGTATGCGTGCTTACAAACTGTCGAAAGTACCGCGTATACACAATTTTAACGCTTCGCTTTTTTTAACGGTTTCTATATTTCTGTAAAGAGTCAGGCAGATTTTTGGTTCAAGTTGAAACCTTGCATGAGTTCGTCTCTTTCTATTCCCTACGAATTTAACATTTAACTGCCTCAAAGATACACAATACCGTAAAGTGAGGTTGTTCTACGACAGGGCTGCATAGTGTTAACTCTCTTACTCCGGTTTCTTTTCAAGTCCATAAGGCTGCTCCCAGTGGCGGCGCTAGGCGTCGGCGACGTCGGCCACCGCCGACGGCCTCGCAAAAAATTTTTACAACTTACCTATTTATTTTCGTTTCTCCTGGTCTAGCTTAGGTAGCCGACCCCGAACAATTCGGGGAAAAAGCTAAGCAGATGATAATGACTTTTATTATTTTCGAACACGGGCGTGATGGAAGCGAGTAGTACTTTACGGGTATACAGAATCGTCTGTCTGCAACACTATTTTTGTAATTAAAGGAGATTGGTCAAATTGGCCTAAATGCAAATAAAATATTGACATATACAGTAATTCTTGGCGTAATTTATACTTTATTTTACAGTCATTCGATTTTAACGGCCACCTTTAAATAATATATTAATTTTAAAAAAGGTACTTCTATTTTTACCGGTTTGGAAAACATACGAATCATTTTTATTGGCTATGGGTGTAGTAACATTCACAAAGACTGATCGAGGTTGTTTATATAACATCAAAACAAATCTATTTTGTAAAGATTGATAAAATATTTTTTTTTATTACACTGTGGTATTAATATCCACAACTTTATTATCATTTTTACTACATGCAAATTTGCTAAGACAATTAATATAGATGGTAGGCGACATCATAAAGTCTATTGCCGTCTATGCCGTTATTGTTGTAATTGTGTTGTTGGGCGCAGAACTGTAGGTTGCTGCGCTCATGTGATGACAATAATTTGGTATTTGAGCTGGGCCAGATACCAAGAAAATATAAATCCCCCTGCACAGTTTCTCGATGATATTTTAATTCAAAATGTAGATGATATGTAATATTAAAGGCAACATAAAAGTACTTAAGTTGTTTTATTTCATTAATTTACCTTATCAGAATATTTAAGTTATGTCAGGAATATACATATTTCACACATTGATCAGAACTATCATGAACCTACGCAATATATTATTACATTAGAATTACCTTTTACCATTATAAACCTAATTATTACTAAGAAAATATCCTATTGGTTTTTATAAAATTATGATAACAGTTCCATGTTTCTCATAACATAGGTAAGCAGGTACCAGTTCCTTGACATGCATTTTGTTAGTGTAATTAGTGTTAGACACTTGTCAAATGAAACAAGATTGCTTCTGAAAGTCGCAATGGCATAATCATGATTTTAAAACTTACTCTTGTGCATTAATTTTAAAAACATGCACATATCTGTTATTTTACATGCTCTATATACCTGAATCTAATACATAATATCAGTACTTGGCTTGATTGCCCTATTTTCCTATATAAGTTATTTGGTTTTTATTATTCTAATACCTATGTGCCTATTTGCAAACATAACCTCAAAATCATTCAGTGTATATGGTTTATAGAAGTTCTCAGGAGTGGCCGTCGATAATATTCGTTTCTACGGTAATTTATATATAATTTCGAATGTAGGAAACAATTTTTCATGGTTTTTGGTTTTTAGGCCAAACATGTATGGAAGCTGAGCAATCTCCTTTTTATTTATTTTATTATTTTTTGTCATCATTTGATTATCAACAATAAAACTCGTTTACTCATACGTTATTTTATAATTTGGCTCACTTAAGTTAACGGTTTTTTACTGCGAAGTAAAAAAGGCCTCGCGATCTTGATGTCGCCGACGTCCACATGTAGTCTAGCGCCGCCACTGGCTGCTCCAAGAGCAAGTGCGGTAAGAGTAACATAGAATTTATGTTAAAGTTCCATAGGTCTTTCTCTGTTACTCCGAAAAGGTCACAGCATACCTACGTTGTCCTACAGCATTTTGGGGGTTCAGATCATTTCGACATTTCAGTCTGCTGTTTTCCTAGCTTTCAAAAGTGTGGTTATTTTGTATAGCTTACTACGCATCAGCATTCTAAACATATTTATTAATTTAACAAAATTCACTGTTAAATATTAAAAAAAAAACTTTTTTTTTTATTTATATTTATTTATTTAAAATTGTCAAACCGTCTAATATTTGTACATCTTTTGATATTTTAAACAGATATCGATTTTTTGGTGATATTGTGTCCATTTTAGTGATGTAGTGAAGGAATGATTAAGTGTACTGTTGCGTTATAAAAAAAAACACTTAAAGCACTAGATCCAATCTCAGCGTTTCATCATAACAATTTCAATATGAAGTGTTTTATTAGTAATACATCAACTAAAGAGAAAATTACTCCGTTTTCTGGAAGGGAAGAAGCTTTTAAAAAATGTAAAAACGTGCTAAGTTTCCGGAAATTAAAAAATAAATAATAGAATCCGTGATCACGGAGCTTTCAGGACTGGTGCCTCCCGGACTAACAGTCACTACTGTCCCAAATAGGATGGAGCATAAGAAAAGCATAATATCAACCGGTGTGCTACTAACTTTATTGATTAGATATAGTACTGTCGCTACTTTGAATAATGCTAGCATCATCGTTTATCGTTCGTATGAGTGGGACCGTTCGTTTATGACCGATTCTCTAAAAAGGTTGGCATAGAGATATTTTGCGTTCATGAAGGTAGGTAAATAGCACCATATCCTAGTCAAATTGTGAATGGAATGAGGGGAAAAATAAAGCATTGTAAAACGCTGCTTTCATTCTTCTATAACATTGGGCCTGAGCAATATTGCCTAGGTAGGCCCAAAAGTTTGTCAAGTCGCTAGTCTGAGTGGTTTTGGTGATAAAAATTTCTTGCTTCTAGTGATATTACCAAGATATACTTACTTGAGAGATGATTATTACAACTTTACTACAGTGTAGTAGCAGTGAGACAGTTAGTGAATGTTGCTATTACAATGAGGGTTTTCTGGAATGACGTGCGCCAGGTGGCAGCACTGAGACGAAAGGTCTACTCATCCGTCAAATCAGCTTAACGTCATCGTATATTGATCAATCTAAATTCTCGTTCGATTAATTCGCGCCAAAAACTTCATACACAAGACCTCGTGTTACAATGGCGCCAACGGGTGGCGTAAATTCTCCTAAAGACCCTCATTGTGAGTCTTGGTAACGTGTTGTGCTTTAGTAATTCTGGATGCATGCATCATGTTAGGTTTATCACCTGCACTTGTCTGTTGGTGTAAAATAATACATAATTGCTGCCAGTCTAAGTATATATTATTATTTTTACAGTGCAAGATTAAGTATAAGATTATTTTAAACTACAGTAAATGTATATAAAATTTATAAGTTATAAATACATCGTTTACGATACTTCTACTGCAACAAATTACTAAACTACAATTAACTATTTAGTTTCAGCTACTTTACAATTACTAAGTCGGTTGGCTCGGTTCTGTCACACTCTTAAAATGATAATCACAATAAGTTACTAAAGCAAATACATAGAGCCGTGTGCAGTTAAAGAAAATACCACAAATAGGGTCATGCTTGATGTTATCTATGTGGTGTAGCAGATTTAAAAAAATAAATATTGAATTGTTTTGTGGACAGAATCGGGAAATCTACTGTGTGTGGAATGAGTTTTGATTCAATAAACACTAACGCCAACAGTTGGTCCTCCAGGCCGGACAGAGTGACGGTGAAGTTAACCAGCGTGACCTGGTGGAACAAACAAATAAAATCAAGAACAATTCATTCGTAGGCTCTCTCTTTATCCTTAAAAAAATATTCGTGAATGAATTATTCGCGAATAAATGTACCCAATACGAAAAACATTTCATTGGAATAAAATTAAATATGAAGATAACAATATAATTGAATAATGCTCTATTCTGATTGTATCAACATAACCAAGTTAAACTGTCTATAATTTAATATAAATTACAACATACAATGTTCCGAGTAGTGGGGACCAGGTGTAATAACCTGGTAGCAGTGGGTCCAACTAATTTGGACTCCTGTGTCTCCCACAACTTTCTTGACTTTAAGTGTGTATTTTCGTTAAGTTTTGGGAGAAAATAAAAAGGTCCATTATAGTAATTTTTTAAGCATTTAACTGCTATTTGTTTAAATCTAAAGTAAAATTTTAGTGAATCTACAATGCGAAGAGATGGCGCTGCCTTACAGCTTAAGAAGGGCTAGAGAAAATTCGACACGGCCGTCAGGACGCGGTAGCATAATGGTCAGTGCATTCGCCCGGGTAGCGAAGGGTGCGGTCCCGTCTGCTGCCTGATCCGCGCGGAATTTTTTCTAGAAATATTTTCTTTAGATTTAAGTAATCATTATTATTATAAATTATTTATTACCTGGATGCAGATCTCAGGCAGGTAATGGGGGTTGGCCAGCTTGGTGGTCAGGTATAGGCGAAAATTTGTGTCGTACTCGATATCGCTGTCGCCAAGATGGATTAGCAGACGACCCGCCTGATGAAAAAAAAACATTATTAACACTAACATTATAAATACGAAATTAAGTCTGTCTGTATGTCACCTCATTACGCTTAATAGTCTCAGGAAAGTAAGTTGCAGGCACCCACTAGTATCTCTATAAAATGGCATTGCCCAAGAACAAGTTGTTGTGTGAAGAACTTGTTCTTGGGCAATGCCATAGTTTGATTAAGCGCGCAATATGAATAATAAACGCATTTCAGTGAAAAATACCATTATACTAGAGAAAAATGATTTGCGATTTAAAATAGGAGATGCGAAGTGTTCACCATATGAAGTTGCACCGAAGTGCGTACATTATGTAGTATAATCATAATAATCATAATTAATAAATATTGTAGTTTGCAAATTTATTTCCCAGGTAAAAATAACAACGAATAAAATTTATGGTGCACTCTTAGCTTAGCGTAATATGGTTATTGTACGAAAAATGCTAAAAGCCTTTTTTTTTCTTGAATGTGTATGGCAGAACTTCACAACGATACCGAGTTGGGGTGAGATTCTCAGATGACTTCAAGCCATGGCTGTATTGAACAACGGCTATGATTGTTATTGGATATGATGAGGATACTAAGTCCTTCAAATACACACACACCGGCATAATTAGGGGGCCGCAAAGAAAAGATCGATTTCTTAAAATAACGACTTGGCGAAATTAATCCAAGAACCAATACCGATACCATTGTGGTATTTATGTAGGGGTATACATAATATATACAACATAGAAGGCAGATGCGGTAAGAAATGGCTTTATTAAACAAAATATGTAGTAAAATATATATGTTGTAAAGAGGAACTTGTCTCAAAACTGCTAGGTTAGATTATGATGCCCCTTTGTATTTAATCTCTCAATTATACTAAGGTGTTAGCCCGTATTCGGGTGCACGAAAGACATTACTCGAATTCGGGCACCCGAAGTAATATTTACACTGGAATACGAGCTGGAAGACGGTGTCGGGTAACCAAAACGAAAACTACCCGAATACGGGCGTACTCGACTCCGTTCATTTAGACTTAGTCGTTTACTCGAATTCCATTGGCAATCGTATTCGGGCTAACGACCAAATGTAATTGAGCCATAAGTGTAGTTGAGGTACCCCTTATATAAATACCCCAACGGAGTCGATGTGGGTTATTTGATCAACTCTCATACAAATTTGACCAGTCTCCTTTATGTTGTATTTATATATTTTTATTATAACTATAATCAGTTGCACTCAAGCTAACTAAAATAAGTGCTCATGTAACGTACACAACATTTAATTTCGAATAATTAAACCTCTAATTGTAACGGTGAGTGAAGTTTGGGATAAAATCTTACTAATATTATAAATGTAAAAGTTTGTATTACTCAATCACTTATGACCTGGGGCCCAATTCTCGCGGCGTAGATATTATATCACCTTCGATATATATCGAATGATCTGGCTTTTATCGAAGGAAAACCTTTTTGCCCTATTCTCACCATGTCGCAATAGATATTTATCTACGGATGATCAGTAGACATACATCGACTGGTAAAGAGCCTTCGATATATAAATATCTATGGATCTTGGCATGTCAATCTTGTTATTTCCACTTTTTTTACCTATTATCTATTGAGTAGTCGTGTGTCATTGCCAATTATTGTTACCTCACGATGTTGTTAACTGCCTTCATAAATAATTAGTAAATAAAGAAGTAGGTAAACTTTGGTGTCGATTCTGGCGTGATTCTCTAAACTTAAAACTAAATTTAACATCAATCTCTCTTTTTCATTCTGTATAGAGAATGACAAGAAAACACTGTTGCCAATTTAAAGTTTAGATTTAGAGAATCGTGCCAGGGGCCCAATTCTCGCGGCATAGATATTATATCACCTTCGATATATATCGAATGATCTGGCTTTTATCGAAGGAAAACCTTTTTGCCCTATATTTTCACCATGTCGCAATAGATATTTATCTACGGATGATCAGTAGACATACATCGACTGGTAAAGAGCCTTCGATATATAAATATCTATGGATCTTGGCATGTCAATCTTGTTATTTCCACTTTTCGTCGAATCGAAAATCCACGAGAATAGCATTTTTTACCATCAGTAGATATTTTCAATAGATAACCCTACTTTCGATATTATCTCGAAGCCGATATAATATCTACGCTGCGAGAATTGGGCCCCTGGATTGAGACATAGGATACTTTTTATTCCGGAAAAATGTTAGATTCCTGTGGGATTGTCAAAGAACTAAAGTAAACACGGACAAGGCCGCGGGCGGCCGCTAGTATGATAAATATAATAAAAAAGTGCCTGCAAGAACGTCTGCTTCAAGAGAACAGGCGCTAGGGTGGCTTCGAGCGTTTCCCCGAGATCTTCAATGAGCATTGGCCAGCCGAGCCGGATGCAGTTCTCCAACATACGGAGATAGCTCGGGTCGTTCAGCTTGGTGATCACCAGTCCGTTGTCTCGCTCCATGTTCTTTATCCATCTGTTTGCCTGTTAAAAGCAAGTAAGAATTGTTAACAGCCGTATTTATTCGTATAGTATCGGCGGGAACTCAGCGTTTGAGTAGCCGTAACTAAGCCACTAGTGGCCGCGTTTAGTGGCTCAATGCGTCTGGGGTACGGATCCACTCATCAACCATAATGGATTTCGTGCACAGACATAGATAGAAATAGATATAATATAGAAAAACATGCCAAGGGAGAAAAATGGTCTTCCCCTTTTACACTTATATATTTCTTGAAATAGGTGGCCAGGACCCGTGCTTTTTCACCACTTAATTTGTTCTCGTGAGTATTCAAAATATGACACACTCGATTTTCATACAATTTGAAGCACATGCGGCGTCTACTTCAATCTAGATCTGTGGTTTTGTGGTATTCAAAGACTCTCCACGTTACCCCAGGCAGAAGTTACCCCTGCTTCTCGCGGTCGAAGGATGGCCGGGAGGGACTGCTAGACGGATGGCAAACCCACACAGACTGATACCCAGCAAGTCAGTCTCCTCCTCTTTACCCTCTGGCGTTTATTATATACACCCTAGATACCGTATTAACTGCACGGAAGCGGCTCAAAAAATATCTACTACAAATGGTAGATATGCTTGTCGCTACACACGCACACATTGACAGCTTTAGTCAATTTGACATTAGAGTCACACACACATTGCGCGCAACATGAGCCGTTTTCTTTGCGTGGTTAATTTGGATTTAGTCCAGTCAATGTAGGCTTAACTTTGCCATTTTTGAGTTGATCACCTGCAACCAACGCGAAAATTTCCGCAAGGGTTCGTAGATTAATATACTAAAATTGCAGGGTGCTGCATTGACGGCAAAGGGTGAAAAAAAATGCGAAATGGTGCAAAAACGAGTTTTTCGTCAATATCTCGCGACTGACTGGAAAAGTAGAAAAAGTTCCTAGTACAAAGTTGTAGAAAATTTAATTTCCTACAAAAAAGGTATCTACATATTTTCCCGTATCTCCTATAGTTTTTTGCACAAAATGCAATTAAAGGTGCAAAATAAAAAAAGAAAATATATTGTTAATGGTTTTTTTTTCATTTTTAAACGATCCTACGGGTCAGATTCGAGAGAGTTCAACGTAAATATCTACGTGCTATGCATTACAGGTGTTTTCGGCGTTATTTGTCATATCCCCAGTTGCTAAGCAAATATAATATGATGACTCTAGAGGATAGACGCAAATATCTAGAAGTTACAGTATTGCATGGCATTGTTAATAACGAATTTGATTGTAGTGATATTACAAATAAAATAAGTTACAAAGTGCCTCGAACTGTTAACATCCGCAAGCTCAAAAATATTAATTTATTTGCCACTAAAATTTGTCGAACAAATACAGGGCTACGTTGCCCTCTACATAGAATGGCTGAAACTTACAATACTTTGTTTGCAGAAGTGGATATATTTTCAAAAACTAAATATAAATTTAGGTATGATGTTATTAAAATATTGCATAATGAGACATAGCATCTATATTTATTTATATGTATTAAACTCTTAGTGTAGTTATTTATTATTTTTGATGTAGTGATAAAATATATATAAAAATATTACCAATTTGTTTATGAAAAATGTTTAATTAGGTACTTTTTGTTTGTTAAAATTATAGTTAAGCATAAGGATTATAACAGTGTTAAGTTTACTCTCACTGAATGTAACATCAGCAAGGCACTATTTTTATTTAATAATTTGTGGATAATATTGTGGGTTACAATATTACCTTAGATTTTATGGTACCATGGTACCACATATAATAGTCTTTAGTCATAAAACACATATTGTAACCGTTTTTTATCCCTTAATAAATAAATAAATAAATAAAAAAAAAAAATCAACAATCACTACTTACTGAAATATTTAAGAATGAGTTTTCGGCAGTCCACTGAAATGAAAATTGTCTACCGAAATGGTAAAAAAATTACCACCAAAATGATACAGCCAAGAACATCGCCTTTGTAGTAGAAGGGTTACCTATTTTGAATTTAAATAAATTTCCTTATTCTTTGTAAATATTTTTGTTCATTATTTTTAAATAAGAATTATTAATGAAGAATTAATTAATTGTTACGCCTATTAATTATTAATACGAATTATAATTATTAATATGTACATTTTCAAAATAACGAACAAAGCGCGTTTAGAAAGCGAGAAGTTTATTAGTTAGTAAATACTCCCTTTAGTGCCAAAACCGATTATCTCCACTTTTCCGCTACTGAACTTTTATAATACCAATCGACCCGTCTCATTAAGCCGCATCTACATGTAAAACCCATTATGCTCTACGACGCATACTTCGTGAAATAGCTAATGAATAAACAGAATAACTGCAAATTATTTCCAAAATTCTTGATTTAAAACCTAATAAACCCATTCAAAACACTTAAGTTTGTAAATGTATTACCGCTGAAACCAAGTTTCGGATTTAAACTCATTTTTCATGTAGACACTTAGAGTAAATATCCTGTGAGTTTCCTGTAATTGGCTTTGATTATTTGAATTTTGCCAGATATTTTACTAGATGAAGTAAAAAATAACAGATCTAAGTCGATTTTTTCAAAAACAAATATATAGTATATTTGCGTAATATTTGAGGCAATTGAATAAGATACCGAATTTCTATTTGTTTTTACTTAATAACTTTTATTCAACGCTTTATAAATAACTTCAGCTAAAATCGATTATCGGTGCTTACTCTTTTCTTCCACTATAATTTATTTAGCGTTAGACATAGTTACTTTAAAATTTATGCTTCAGCTAAAATCAGCTATTCATGTTTAACCGTCTCTTCCGTACACAGATCGCGCGCTAGGTAGTGTTGCCGCCTTGGATTTTTTTAAGGCGCCAAGTCAAAGGTAAAATATCGCCAGATTTCAAAAATTTGGATTTAAATTTAAATATACACCAAAATCCGCTAAATTACAATTACATCTCTGATAACATAAAACCCTTATTTAAATAAAAACCAGTGAATATGTATGAGATGCTACAGAAATAACTGTATCCCGTAGTCGTTCTAAATTAGTAAAATTTTGTTATTTAAAAAAAATGGCAATTTTGTTTTTACCAACCTTAAACTTTTCCGAGCGTTACCTTAGTAGTACTAGAGAATGAAATAAAACCAGGTAAATATGTATTTACATTCATTATGTATCTATGTCATCAAAAAATAAATCTTTAACAAAATGTGAAATTTAAAATTCAATATTGTTAAATGTTACATCTTCTTTAACTCCATCGTCGTTCACAGACGCATACGCTTCTGTCAATGAAGCCAATGTCGAAGCTTAAGATGTTTGGTTGTGGTTGTAGTTAATTTTTGAAAGAGTATTTTGTGTTTTTTAAATGATATCTTTTGATTGACGGATAGAATTTGCATTTTTTGTTTGTACTTTTTTGTTTCAGCATGTCTTCTCAAATTTATTACTCTTGCTAATAATTCTGCTTTACAAAATGAACAAAATGCCTTCGCATCAACACCTGCTAAAGGTTTAAGCCAGGTTTGGAATTCGTCGAGTGATTTCCATTCTTTTCTATACTTTTGTATGTAATTATTTTTCTTGAATAGAAAAATAATAACATATAATTGAATACTCTAAACATGCAGCTTCAGGAGTTCACACACTGTTACAAACGTTTCTATCAAATCAAACTTTTACACTTTTTAACAACACAATGAACGCGAACCTAATACCTGAAACAGAATGAACGATTGAAGGAAGCCCTTAACAGACAAACGCGTCTAGGAATTCCCATGTAACCATTGAACATTATGAAAGTTCGGAAAGTTAGGGGATTTCCCCCTTAAAAATATGTTGCTAGATTTTATGTTAAAAAACCACTAAAAACACTAAAAAAAATATACCCCCTAGATAATGAAAATATACCACTAGAAGCCGTGAAAAAGCACCAGTTCTGGTGGAAAAACCACCAAGGCGGCAACACTGGCGCTAGGGAGTGAGTTGCTCACTTTTATTCATTCATTGTTGAATCGCGCGCTGGGCAACAATGTTATTTTTTTGTTTAATTAATCACTAATAAACATTACTGGGTGAACTATTATCGAATATTAGAAGAAAAATAACGAAAAATAAACTTGATAAAAAAAATGATTTCAATTTAACTTCAACATTTATTTTTATTTCATCGTGTTCAGCGCAAAATTTGCATTTAAAACATATATTTGCAATATGTCATACATATTCTTATACATTATCATATAATAAAATTGAAATCATTTTTTTTGTCAAGATTATTATATGAAAAAGGAAATAAAAAAATGCCCGAAACATATTAATTAAATCCCAATGAATTATGTAGAGGTGAACTCCCCAAGCAAAAAAAAAATACACGGCATTGCTCAGAGCGGCAGTGCAATGTGCTGATAAATGATTTTGACTTTTTTTCTTAGTTAAGTAGGTACTTCTCAACCTTGTCAAAAAGAATAATTGAGTAATGGGCTCTATTCCATAAAATAAAAAAATACGAAGTGGCATTTTATCATCACGGTAACCTGTCTTAAACCCAATTCCTCTCGTAAAATTACTTCCCCTGTAGTTACATTTATTTTTTCGATTGAAATTAACTTTTATATCATCAATATATATAGCCTATCAACAAAACATACTACTGTTTGTTTACCTTCTTCCTTAGGGGCTGTCCAAGTATTACGTAAGCACTATAGGGGGGCAGGGGGGTCTTTGCTTTGCTTATTTTTGATGACATGGGGGAGTGGGGGGTAGAGATGTTGATTACGTCAGCATCATCAATTAAGCCTTTTTAAGTACTGCTGCTCATAAAGCTCATGAAAGCTCATGAATCAATAAAAAAAACAGAATACATAAAAGGAAAAATGCATATAGGTACCAATGTATACGTAAGGATGGGGGGGGGGAGCTTTGCTTACTTTTGCTGACGAGGGGGAGGAGGGGGTAAATAATTGTAATAAATCTGCTTACGTAATACTTGAACGGC